CATACACACACACACACACACACACACACACACTACACCGTGCTGCAATTAAATCTACAAAGTAACCTCCCCCCTCCACCCTCTCTGCCTACGTCTCTCTGATTGCCTGGTTTCTCCATCTCTCTCCTCCTCATGTTCCCATCATCCTCCATTTACCCCCCTGTCTGTTATTTTTCTCTCAATCTGAGCTTCTCAATCAGCTGCTCTGATTGCTGTCTTTGTTTTTATTAGGGTCCGTCATGACAGCCATCAGTGTTATCCTTATTGCTCTGTGTGTTTGCCTTGCAGCCCACGGGAAAAACTCAAGGAAGTTGCGGCAAGCCGGTTTATGCAAATTATTAAATCGCAGCCGCACCATGGAAATATTTAACACAGGAATTCAACTGCTGCAAAAATTTAAATATATTTTCAGCTTGGTGATTTATGCAAATTGCTCGGCCAGATAGTAATTAAAAAAACATTGGAAGCTAAGTTAATGGAAAAGAGTAGTGACTTTTACTTTTCTGTTTTTAACGGACATTAAGTCATCCTTTGTATTTCATAACATTGCCACTTCATAAGAAGCTGGTTTCCATACACAATTCCGAGTTTATATGCAATAGTTTTTGGATATTTTGAAGCAATTCTTTGAATAAATAAAGAAAGTTTCATAATAGTGCAGATGCTTATTTTTTACAGCACTTTGAGCTGTCATGTTTCATGGATGAACTGAAACATGTTTCCATCAATATTCTGTTTTTGCACATTTTTAAGTATCACTTTAAAAAAAGCTTAACAGAAACAGCAAAATTCAAAATGACTTTCTCAATTTCACAAAAAACTTTTGCTGATGTCTTTCCCTTTGGACACTTTGTCAATCTTTGTCACATATTAGAAAAGAAAAGGCAGATATTCATAATATTACTTTCTTCTTTTCATCCATCATTTTGGTTAGTTGTTACATAAATTATTTATATTTAATAATTCAGCATTGAGTGAATTAAATAAAAAATTAAACGAAATGAATTTCCATCAGGTTGTAATAAAGAAGATAAATTTACAAGCCAGCATGAACATAAAGCTGGACACAATATATAATTACATATTGTATATATAAACATCATCACAATATATAATCGCATGATCAATATCAATAGAAAATACATCTGATAGAATATTTAACAATTTCATTTAACTCTGATCCAGAACCGCACGGCATTCTGGGAGATGTAGGCAGAGGAAAAGCTTTAGCCGCTCAACCTCTCATCGCTTGATTGGTGGAATCGACTAACTCACTCGTTCTCTGGTTACCTAGCAACTCACTCGTTCTCTGGTTACCTAGCAACTCACTCATTCTCTGGTTACCTAGCAACTCACTCGTTCTCTGGTTACCTAGCAACTCACTCATTCTCTGGTTACCTAGCAACTCACTCATTCTCTGGTTACCTAGCAACTCACTCGTTCTCTGGTTACCTAGCAACTCACTCATTCTCTGGTTACCTAGCAACTCACTCATTCTCTGGTTACCTAGCAACAACCTGCTGAGTCACCAGCAGTTTGAGGTTTCGCCACTGGGCCTCTTCTTAAAAATGACAAACAAAACCGTGGAGAGAAAACTGCAGAAAAAGCAGGAAAACTCAACAGATTGGTAGTATTTCAGGTATTTAAAACAAAAGATGATTCATCAATAATTATTGATACTGACTTAAATGAAATACGTGGTACGATTTTTTTCAGCCACTGAAAAAGTAGATATTTACTCTATTTTTTCCAATTAGAGTAAATATCAGAGATGTGAATCTTTCTGTTGATTCATTTCCGATTTTTCGGGTCACAATTCAATTCAGAAGCCAATTTTTCTATTCAAACAGTTTAAACTATGTGACTGATAAGAAGACTAGGTAGTGTAAACAAATAGAGATTTCTTCAAAATAATTAATGTTGTACCAAATTCAGTCTATATTTCATCAGAACTGGGTTTGTACATAAAATTGGTAAATTACTGGAATTACGTTAGCTTAAAACCCCGAATTTTTCTTACATAAAAAACATCAAAGAATTATTCAAAATCTAATTTTAGAATAGATTTAAATCGATTCAAAAATCCCAGGATTAGGATTTACAATTCTCAATAAAAATGGATTTTTTCCTGCATCTCTAGAAAATATATAAAATATTGCACAGTGGATTAAATGGCAGCACTGTTTTCTTTGTCAATGTTGAAATCTGGCCACATTCACACATTTACCAAATACATGAACTGTCTTTCTTATATATTTACTGCAAAATGAATTATTACTGGCACCAAATTTCAGTATTTTCCTAGTTTACTGTCCTTTACTTCATCTTTCTTAAACCCTGAAAACAACTGACTGACGGCTGTGAGTGTAGTTAGAGTGGAGGTGGGGTTAATAAGCCTCCACAGGGCCTTTTTGCGTGTGTGTGTGTGTGTGCGTGTGTGTGTGAGAAAGAGAGAGAGAGAGCTTCCCAACGGGTTCGACTCAATCGATTGCTCACAGCCATTAGTCGTGAGACAGTGTGCGGTGCAGAGAATCGGACTTAATGCACTTTGCACTGGCAGCCTGATTGGACCCTTTCAGACCTCTATGTGTTATAGTAATGGCTTTTTGCATTCACACTTTCTGTAAGTGGATGCTGTGGAAAATGTTGACGGCTGCAGCGAGACAGAGCTCCGATGCATGTGGAATATTTCACTACACTGGCTGTAACTCACACATGAAATGTGATTGTTTATAGCAGAATGACAGAATCCTAACGCAGGAAATGAATCTACAACATAAATTTAGAGCATCTATAAATCACAGACAGCTGATGTAATTCACATCATTACATATTCCTTTAAGAAAAGGTTATTTCTGCATTTCTTACCTGTTAAAACTGGAGGTGATTTGGGAGTCCAAGTAACTCCATATCAATTTTTCCCTCATTTTTCTGTGAACTCTGCCCTTTTCAGGTAAGATAATGATCACTCATAGATACTTCACACAAGCATTAATTGGCGATTTGACAATATGTTTCACATCATCATATGGAAAGCCTAGATATTTACAAAAGACTTTGTATGGTAAGATTATCTAAGCAAACGCTTCAGTAACGACCGACCTTGCAGCCTGAGTCTTTTTGCTTCTCCATCTTTTCTCTTCCCTCCATCTGTGCCAATCTGCAGGCCGTCCTCATCCATTATGCCTCTCACATTCACCCCTAAACACTTGTCATTTTTCCTGTCAAGGTTATCAGGGCAGTGTCGACAACAACGAGCCGTGCTGATGAAATCTTGCGCAAAGAGAGACTCATTTGTCCACAAGTCTGTGTTGGTTTTTAAACGCCTCTGATAAATGCAGACGGACTGAAGCAAAAGCAACAGCCTGATAGGACTGAAGATACTTAACGAGTACAAGAAACACGACTGTCAAAACTGATCCAGGTTGGCAGAAAAAATGGGACTTGAGTCCCGACATTCAAGCAAATCAGAGGATTTTCACTAACAAGCAAATGTTTAATGATGTAAACGGTGAAAACAAATTAAGAAATGGCATCAACAACTACGATGCAGCATGTTTGACAGCTTTGATTGTGTGCAGATGTAGCTGCTGTGGGTCCTTCATGTGGAAACAGGAAAACATCTGGCTTCACCGAGCTTTCAGCTGTCACACTGTGAGCTGCCAGGAAGCTGCTTTTTATTTTTTATCACAACAAAACTGCACTGAAATCTCTCAATATCAAGCCAGTATTTACAAAAAAAAAGATCCTCAAAGTAGAGCAAAAATGACACGAAAACAAGCCTCCCGCTGCCCACAAGCACAGCAGCTAATGAAGGGACTCTGCAGCCAGATGTTCGAACATCTGCATTAAGCAGTGAAGAAGGAGACATTCTCTTCTTCATTAGTCTTTTGTCCATCTGCACATGAAGGTGGGGAGACTTTGCAGGCCAACATGTCACACGCAACTAAATGTAAAGTTTATTTCAAAAAATTTAGCTGGATGATAAATTGTCCCAGAAATTATTGTGATAAACGATTTCATTGTTATTTTAAGACCATATTCAATGGCACCAAGATTTTCAATAATAATAATAATATAATTATGTGACTGAAACTTCTTCAAACATAAAGAAACATTTCAAATATCCAAAATAAACAAACAAAACAACCTAAACAATCATAACTGAAATTGATTTTAAGGACTCTGCAACCAAAATTGCAGATATTCTGACGACTGAATTATTAATCGTTCAGTTCAGACAGAAAAAAACGACTAGAGTGCCGGTTTGGACTTTTGTAGAAAAAATAAAATGCAAACTAATTTTGTTTAGTTAAGTCAAATCAAATCAAATTTTATTTGTATCAAATGTTTTTCAAAATATCAGCTTTTCAACGATATTAATAGTAATTATCAAGTTTAGATCAATTTATAACACAATTAACTGAGTTATTGCTTGTTGTGATAGGTGATTGTTATTTAATCGTGTTATAAATTAAAACAATTTCTATTTGAACAATTTATGTTTTTTATTTTCTTTCTCTCTATCAAAAACTGCCTAATAAAAAACTTTATTGTTAGGATTCAACTAGCACTTTTTTTAAGGAAAATGTTTCTGTTGTTTTGTTTATTTATTTAAAATTACTTCCACTTCCAGTGCTAAATGTTCATTAGAATTTAAAGTTTATTGATCTTTCAGAATATGTTCTCGCATTATTATGCCATTATCAATATAAAATGTGTTAAAATGAGGTCAAAGCATCATTTTTATTGTTTATCCCAATAACTTCTGGGCCGATTTATCGTCCAGCAAGATTTTTTATCGTGACTGGACTACTGACATGTTTACTTTATACATTATTTAATTCCCTTATTACCAGTTGAACCTTTAATATGGAAACTCATTGAAACGTATGTTACCAGGTTTGGATGCAGAAACCAGTGATGAAGTCCACATCACTGATCCCAGTATACGTGCATCTCTGTTCAGAACAGCAGAGCAACAAAAGCAGCAAACTTACTTCAAAGACGAGACAGGAATTGATGTCGTAAAATCTAGAAATCTCCACGTTTGGCCTGCTTTCTCTGTTCTCGCTCTGCTGTGTTTCAATGCCTTTTCCATTTTGAACTTCGACACCAACTGTATTCCCAATAGTTGGTCACTGACACAAACCTCTCGGTAGGTGCGATGTTGCCCTTCTTCTAGCCCCGACTGGCCTTTCTGTGGTTTAACATTGTCCGGGAAAATACAAACCAGTATGAAATTTGTTGTTTTTCCGTTGCTCTCTAAACCCAATCACGTCCAACGGCCCCAAATCTGACTTGCGAAGAAGAAGAAAGAAAAAAAAAGTATCTTCTTTTGTCTTTAACTCCCAAATCCCGGAAGTTCAGTTTCCAGTCGATTCAGTTAAAATATGGATTTGTTTTGTTTTGTTTTCGTCACAGATGCTGAAGTTGTCCCCGTGCTTCACCACAACCACCATGCCTGGACGTTTCCTGATTTCCTCTGGCGCTGCAGCCCTAAACCAGACAGACAAAAGAAACGAAGCCCTGCCAGGTCTCCCTTCTGCAGGCATAGGCTTTTCCTTTTCCTCCACTCCCTCGTGCTTTCTTCTGTTCCCCAGAAGAGTTGGCGAAGCTCCAGCAAGTCTGCCATGCCGCCTGAACCTTCCCGTCCGTCCCGATCGTCGTTTCGCTGCGGACCCCCGCCCTCATAACCCCTTCGCTCCCACATCCTCCTTCTCCAGTCCAACCCCTTCCAAACCGGCCAAAGTCGCCCAATAACTTCACTCTGTGTTTAGCTGTTGATTAAATCTGAAAAAGCTCTGACATTTCAGTACAACGCTAATCAGATCTTAAGTCTCGGATACAGCTGAGTCAACACTCCATTCACCAGACAGCCTTTATATTTACTGCTAGTAAGTAAAAGCCAGCATAAAGGGCAGCGAGTGTGTGCTTGTGTGTGTCCTGGGCCCTTCATTCAGTGCCAGAGCAGACCTATTCATCATGTGCCAAGGCTCAGCGCCCTCACTTGTACTGAAGAGGGGGCATCTTGGTGCCAACTGCCCTCACTGCCAACTTAGTGCTGCTTTCGGCCTGTTTATGCACACAGAAAGCTCCCTATCTCACAAACACACCCACACACAGTGCCAAGCATGTTTACTGGCACCACCAGTAAAGATATGGTTAAAGTCTTAGCGTATCTTTAATTGCAGCAGGGTAATCTCACTCTGAAAAGATTCTCTAACCTTAAGAATGGCTGAATTTATTCACTGTTTGAATTTTCATATAAAAATCTGTGGTATGACAGTTTTCACAACAGACAAGTCTTTATTTAATTTATATGTCCTTATTTTCAACTTATCAAATTGTCTAGGAACTGGTAAGGATTTATCTACAAACTTTTATTTCTCTGGGATATAAGTATGATGCTACACAGAGATTACTAGAGACCAAAATTTTATTTTTTTGGTTGCCAACACTCAGGTTGGCTTTGACGTGAAACGAAAGTTGAAATCAGAGATGCTGTGGCTCCATTTCTCGTCCTGAGAAAGCTGAACTAAATGCAGCTCACCTTGCCAATATTTAAGTGTCCTGTTAGAACAAATATAGAAGTGTTGTTAACTGGGATTTTTTTTTCCAAGTAACTATTTTACACATTAATGATTTTGATTTGACATTTCTGACATTATTTCATGGTGCCCGGATGACGCTAATCTAAAGATATGTAGACAACACAGACAAAACTCTACTACATTATTTTTATGTGGTTTGTAAATGAAAGCAATTATATTTCTAAAGGTTTTCAAATATAGTCCGGAAACAATTGCTAAAGTTTCATAAAAGGCAGCTTTCTGATTCAGTTGAATAGTTTCTTGCGTAGCGTTTCCCTCCCCAATATGGCAGATCTAATGACGTATTACAACAAAAACTGGCCCTGCTGAACCGAAGAACGCATGCGCTCACTACAGCAGGCGCGGCTAACTGACAAAAACATCTTTAAGGACTTTTTTACCGTAATTTATGACCTCGGTCACAGTTTACGATTCTATAGACATTATTTACTTCCAAGAACTACGTGAATTAAACATCATAAACAGTTCATTTTGTCTCAGGAGGCCTGAAAACAAGTGAAGTTTGGTTAAAGCTAGCCCAGTCTTACCGGAGACTTTGATGCTGTCAGCCCGGCCAGGTAGCGCTGTTTCTGGGGTTGGCATCTGTGTTTTGGAGGCCATGTCTCCCATCCGACTGTTCATGAAGTGACGCCAAACCAAACGCAGCCTGGAGGAGGAAACCATTGAAACCAGAGCAGAGCAGTTAGTTACCCACAGAGCTGCATAACAGCTAGCTTACCTAACGTTACAACAGAGCCTAGCTTAGCTAACGTTACAACAGAGCCTAGCTTACCTAACGTTACGACAGAGCCTAGCTTAGCTAACGTTACCACGGGGCTGATGTAACAGCTGTTACTCAACTGTCTCCACCAACACGGCTCTGCATCACTTATATTAACTTATACAAACACTATGAACTCCTCAAACTATAAGTATGACAGAAAATACTTCGTCTATGAGACAGGAGTTGTTGTTTCTAACCAATATAATGTATTTATGTTGTAGGAGAAACAAAACGGTCATTTCTTAGGTGGATTCATATTTTCTTGTTAAATTAAGGTGACAGAAATGAAGTCAAATAAACAACTAGATGACTAATATTAACTATTAGTTAATATTAGAATTATAATTAAAAAATATAATCTTTAAATAATATTCTAAGTTTCTTTTCAGATTCAATGTTTTTTTTCCGTTTCTATTTTGTTTTAGTTTTAAATTATTTTTTCAGTTTGTGAAACTTCAACAAACTTTATGGCCACATTTATCTCCATAAATACCTGGTTAAAAGCCATATTCAAAACGTGCTCGTATGCTGACAGTTCATCAGGAAGCGTTTTCTAAGTTATTGATTGTGTTTCAGAGAATTGATATCCAGGAAGGAGATAAAAGCTGATTCAATCAGCACCAAGCAGAACCAGTGAGTCAACTGGTTTCCAGTTTACCAGGAGGAAGATGGAGAGAGACAAATGATGTGCCATATGGAGGAACGCAGGAGGAAAAAATGTTCCAATTGGTGTCTGTATGAAAGGTGAGAATCATCAATAATTCAGCAGGAGCAAACCCACCAATATCACCACAGGAGAGTTGAGGTTTTTTCTGCATCACAAACTCATAATCATTGCGTTTGTTACACAACCAAAAGCTTTTAGACAATAAAACATCAACGCTAAATGGTTGATCTGGTTTGGTGGGTTTGACTCAAGTGATTCTCAAATCCTCAAATGAAAGCAAAACACTCAAAACTGTCTGGTTTTAAGTTTAATAACGACAGCTTTATTAGTCTGAATTTCATAAATAGTAAAAGTGACAAAGTATAACCACTTCAAGGGAATAAAAAATACATTAGAAATCAGACGTGTTTAATGGATTAACTTGCTCAATTAATAATAGATTTAAGATGTAGTTTTCCTCTATCTTTTGATGTAACACCTGTGATGATCCAAATCTTAACTACCTGAATCCCACATAGTTCTGCTTTAGCATCAAGAGGGAGAAAAGGATCCAAAGTGGTGATATTTCCACAAATAACTGAGCTTGAAAAGGTGAAACTGAGTTACAGATTATTTGCTCCTTGCTGTGCATAAATGCATAATTCTCCTCCAGCGCTTTGGGGTCATTGTAGATAAAAAAGAACATTTCCACCAAAAACTTTCTATCTTTTAGAAAAAACAAGGAAATTTCTGAGCTTAAGATTTTAAAAATGACTAGAAAACAAAATGCAGAAATTTTGAACTGAATCTCAGAAATTTCTGAGAAAAAATAAGGAATTTACAGAGTTTCAAATGTTGAAAATTTATTAGAAAAAATTTTTTTTAGATGAGTTTTAGAGGTTTTGTAGAAAAAAAACAAGCACAAATCTGAGCTTGAAAAGTCAAACATTTTCTAGAATAAAACTGGGAAATTTCTAAGTTTCAAAATTAAAAAATCTTTTGACAGTCCGAAAGACGAGAGGAAAACCCGACTACCTTACTGCAAAACAGGAAAACTGATGGAAAGACGGATCTTTGACGTCCAAATCTTACAACCTGACATCACGTTCACAGTGTTTTACTGTGACTATCTTTCTTATTTAAAGGAAAACACATTTTGGTTTTAATGAGATCTAAATCTGTCACCCTGGTATTTGTGGGGTCAATAATATTTCCTCCATATTTGGCGCCCGCTCTACTCAGCGCCCCTACGCTTCCCATACAGTGGATTCCCACTTTTTGTGCCACCATGTGCACTTTTCCAGAGTCATGAGCAGATCTTCAAATATCCTGGTCAAATGTTCTTTGAAAAACAAGTAGAAAGCTAAAAACTGTGAAAACTGAAGATTTCTTTAGGAAAAAAATATTCTTGACATCAAGACCTCACAGCTCGTGATGATGAGTGACGGTAATTATCTAAACGTGAGACTGAATCATGTTCACAGTGGCCATATTTTGGAAAAAACAAACCAACAAAAGAACTTTGCATGTTTAATATTTCCGGAAACCATCTGGATTAACCTAAATTATGGGCAGTCAGGTGGGTGAGCCAGATGCTTTCACTCGGCCTTTCCTCCCCCTTCCTGAGGAGGATGAGGATGTGAAAACCTGCCTTCATCTGACTCCCTCTCTCTCAGAGGACCACCCCTCCCCTCTCCTGTTTCCTCTCCATCTGACTGCGCCCGACTTCTTTCCCTCCATCCTGCCACAGAGCGCCGCGGACGGCACCCAGCGCGCTGAGGAAGGAAGCGACATTTTCAGCCTCTGCATGTCTTCTTCTGCTACTTCTTCCTCTTCTTCTTGACTCTGGACTATGTCTGCTTAGCGATCTCCTCTGGAGGGTAAACTCTTCATCTGCAGAGGGGAGGACGGTCTGATCTCTGCATCCCCCGCATCACCATCACCATCATCATCATCATCCCTCCGCATCCCTCCATGGAGAGGATTAAATCCCGCAGAAGCCGCTCGCTTTTTGTTTTTTAGTGAAAACGCGCCGTTTATTCTGCTCCTTGTTTTGGAAGGTATTGTTCGCTTTTGCGTTCATTTGAAACTGAAATTTGACGCTTTGAGTGCGTTTATTTGCAAACGCCGCAGTGTGCTGTCGCGCTCTGCGGAATGCTTCCTCTCCTTGTCGTAAAAAAAAATTTATGATAAAAGTGACATTTATCTCCTTAAGAGGTCATGATGTAATGTGATGCTCTGGTGAGAGAGGATAGTCATTTTTAAAGGTGCTTAGCAAATATATCGTTTCTTTTTGTTTGCTTCATATTAAAAATGGTTAACAGTGGCTTCAAACCTCCCAGCCGACCCCCACAAAGGAGCCCATCCTCCCTCCTCTGCTCCCCCCTCTCCTCCCCCCTCTGCTCCCCCTCTGCGTTTTTAGCTTACATGAGCTATCTGGGTCATTTGCATTTCTGCGTTTAATGAGGCTGCAGATGGCTGCGTTTCTTTTCATTTCTACCTGAGAGCCGCTGAGCTGCAATGATGCACCTCTCATCTCTTTTCTGCATCATTTTCTTCCTTTTTTTATGTGGAGCTGACATGATGTGTGAACTGATGCGGGATGATGGGAAGAGCTGCAGCCGCAGCTTCCACCCCTGCAGCAGTGCTGTATAAGAACGCACATTATGGCTGCTGGATAATGGAGGGGAATGCTACGAATGTCCGCAGTGCTGCTGCTGCTGCTGCTTAAAGGACCATACCGACATT